ATTTACAAAACAAAAAATGTATGGTCTTCTTGGCCTTGGAGACTGTACAAGATAGATTCTGAATTAAATTTGACATCTGCTGTAATGCATCAGTTGACAACCCTTTATGGGATTAATCAACACTAGGACTCAAATTACAGTCATACTGGGCATCCCACTAAATTTAAGCAAGATACCCCTGATAATCTTAGTAAGTTACTGAATATTAAATGAAGCACAAATTAAATATTCCTCACTTTAACCAACAGAATAGTTTTTTTTCATGCGTAAATTCTCAGTTCCTCATTGCCATAGCACCTATTGTCCTAAAATATTCCACGGTGAACAGAGGTCTGAACCAATGAGGCATGAATTGAAATGGTCTTTTTCTTTTTTTGAGACGGAATTTCACTCTTGTCACCCAGGCTGGAGTGCAATGGCACGATCCCGGGTCACTGTAACCTCTGCCTCCCGGGTTCAAGTGATTTTCCGGCCTCAGCTTCCTAAGTAGCTGGGATTACAGGCATGTGCCACCATGCCCAGCTAATTTTTGTATTTTTAGTAGAGATGGGGTTTCACTATGTCAGCCAGGCAGGTGTCAAACTCCTGACCTCAGGTGATTCACCCGCCTTGGCCTCTCAAAATGCTGGGATTACAGGCGTGAGCCGTGAGCTACCATGCCCGGTCTTAAATGATCTTTTAAATTAAACTTATTTATTGGTTTTTATATTTTGTAGAGCGAGAATCTCACCATGTTGCCCAGGCTACTAGTCGTCATCTTCTTTTTTTTTTCTTTTTTTATTTTTGAGACAGTGTCTTGTTCTGTGACCCATGCTGGAGCGCAGTGGAGCGATCATGGCTCACTGCATGGCTCACTCCGTGACCTCCTGGGCTCAAGTGTTCCTCCTGAGTAGCTGGGACTACAAGAATGCACCGCCATGCCCAACTAATTTTATATTTTTTGTAGAGACAGGGTTTTGCCATGTTGCCCGGGCTGACAAGCAGGCATTTCTTTTTTCTTTTTTTTTTTTAATTACTTTTAATTTAGGTTTGAGGGTACATGTGAAGGTTTGTTACGCTGGTGAACTTGCATCATGAGGGCTTGTTGTACAGATTATTTCATCACGCAGGTATTAAGCCCAAGATCCAATAGTTACGTTTTCTGCTCCTCTCCCTCCTCCCACCCTCCATCCTCAAGTAGACTCCAGTGTGTGTTGTTTCCTTCCTTGTGAGTTCTCATCATTTAGCTCCCACTTGTAAGAACATGCAGTATTTGGTTTTCTGTTCCTGCATTAGTTTGCTAAGGACATAGCCTCCAGCTCCATTTATGTTCCTGCAAAAGACATGATCTCATTCTTTTTTACAGCTGCATGTATTCCATGGTGTTTATGTACCTGTAGTTGTATGAGGTCTGACTTTGTTGTTCAGGCTTGTCTCGAACTTCTGGGCTCAAGTGATCCTCCCACCTTGGCCTTCCAGACTGCTAAGATTACAGGTGTGAGCCACTGTGCTTGGCCTGTTTTATTCATTTTGATGTTATTACTAATGCAATTGTCTTCTTAATTTCCTTTTCAGATGATTCATTGTTAGTGTATTGAAATGTAATTTTAAATGTTAATTTTGTATCCTGCAGCTTTGCCGCATTCATTTATGAGTTCAGTTTTTGTGTACATAAATGTGTGTGTAATCTTTAGGATTTTCTACACAGAGGATTATGTCATCTGCAAACATAATTTTATTTCTTCATCTTCTAAGTTTTGAGGGATTGACCAAAATCTTGGTCATCGATGTCCCTCTTTGTCACCATCCTGGTGGGACTTGTTTGGCCTTGGTATGGAATTCACAAGTCACAATGTTAGGTCAGTCATATATTCCTTTTCTGTTATAATATTCTTGGCCGGGCGTGTTGGCTCATGCCTGTAATTTCAACACTTTGGGAGGCTGAGGCGAGCAAATCACTTGAGGTCAAGAGTTCAAGATCAGCCTGGCCAACATGGTAAAACCCCGTCTCTACTAAAAGAAAAAAAAAACTGGCCAGGCATGGTGGCATGTGCCTGTAGTCCCAGCTACTCAGGAGGCTGAGGCAGGAGAATCACTTGAACCCAGGAGGTAGAGGCTGCAGTGAGCTGAAGTCGTGCCACTGAACTCCAGCCTGGGCAACAGTGAGACTGTCTCAAAAAAAAAAATAAGTAAATAAATAAAAAAAATATTTAGTGTATTTGTTTCTTTAGTGTCTAAAGAAACAGTGCTATCAGTCACCCTTTTAATTAAGCTTTTTTTGTAGTAGCAAAAATCAGGGGAAAGATAAGTACACCATTATGTTTGTTTAGCACCATGCATAAGCCCCCGACGTGGGCAAGAAGGAGATCCAAAGCTGCATGATGGTCTGTTAAGTGCTTTTGTTGAATACGTCAGTTACCATCCACCTTTTGGAGGGTGGCTTCTACCTGTCTGAAAACTTGGAGGTCTGGTTGACCAGAAAATCTAGGATTTTCCCCAAATTACTGATATAGTTTATTTTTCATTTTTGGAGACAGAGTCTCTCTCTGTCACCCAAGCTGGAATGCAGTGGTATGATCTCTGCTCACTGCAACCTCTGCCTCCCAGGTTCAAGCCATTCTCCTGTCTTAGCCTCCCAAGTTGCTGGGATTATAGGCACGTGCCACTTTGCCCGGTTATTTTTTGTATTTTTAGTAGAGTCAAGGTTTCACCATGTTGGCCAGGCTGGTCTCGACCCTGCCTCAGCCTCTCAAAGTGCTGGGATTACAGGCATGAGCCACTGCGCCCAGCCTGATTTAGTTTGAAATTCCATACAAGTGGCACCCCACTAAGCATGAACCCTCAGGAACCCCATCTCTCTTCAGTGAAACATAGTTCAGCTTTATCTATTTCAAGGTTGGTGCTAATTTCCAGTTGTTGGCCATTTTGTCACAGACCAGTCAGTTAAATTTGTCTACCCATAACTGAATATAACTCCAGCCACTTCAGACCCTGATCCTGATTTGAGAGTCAGGGTCTGAAGTGGCCAGAGTTACGCTGCAGCCCCTTATGTTGCTATCATCACTTCACATAGCTCCTGAAAAGGTCCAGTAGGAAACAAGAGTTTTTCAGCAAGTGTAGGAAAGTAAGTGGCAATGACATCAAGGGTAACTTTCCACTCTATGGGGTTTTAGGATAACTCTCACTGGAAATATGACATTAGTGGAATTGTTTTCTGACTTTTAGGCATAGGCCCACAAATCCAAGAATTGCTTTTTTTTTTTTTTGGCTAGATCATAAGCCTTAGCTAAAGCCATCCACAAATTATGGTCCTGAGTATTTTTCTGTAAGGAAAGGGAAAGAATTAGGATAGCTACTGGCTCTAATTGCAGGCTATATAATAAGTGATGGGTTTACGTTTTCCTCCATGTTCTGGGTAAGAACTCTTAATGCCTGATTGTTACATTCATGAACAAACAAGATAAAAGGTTTAGTATAACTTGGATGTCCTAAAGTTGGGGCTGTTGTAGGGCCAATTTCATTTTGTTCAAAGGCTGCTCGTGACTGTCTTCCCACAGTAAAGATTCCGGTACAGAGTTCCTGGTGAGCTCATTTCAGTGGTGAGGCCAGTAAGGAGATATTTGGGATCCAGCATCTGCAGCATCCTGTAAATCCCAAAAAAAAATCTCAATTGTCTGGTTGTAGGCTGAAAAAAACTTGGAATAGTTTTTGTTTCAGGTGATAGGAAAATTCCCTCAGCAGTCAAATCATGTCTAAATCATGGGCTTTTTCTCTTAAACTTTTTCCCTCAAAACCTTGTGACTTTTTTTTTTTTTTTAGATAGAGTCTTGCTCTGTTGCCTAGTCTGGAGTGCAGTGGTGTGATCTCCGCTCCCTGCAATCTCCACCTCATGGGTTCAAGTGATTCTCTTGCCTCAGCCTCCCGAGTGGCTGGGATTACAGGCACATGCCACTATGCCCAGCCAATTTTTATATTTTTAGTAGAGACAGAGTTTCACTATGTTGGCCAGGATAGTCTCAGTCTTTGGTTTTGGTATCAAGGTAATAGTGGCCTTGTGGATTGAGTTTGGAATATTCTCAACTTCTCTATTTTTTGGAATAGTTTGAGTAGGATTTGTATTGGTTCCTTAAATGGTAGAATTCAGCAGTGACGCCATTGGATTCTGAGTTTTTCTGTACTGGAAGACATTTTATCATGGCTTCAATATTGTTACTTGTTATTGGTCTGTTCAGGTTTTGGATTTCTTCCTGATTCAATCTTGGTAGATTGTATGTATCTAGGAATTTTTACATTTTTTCTAGATTTTCCAATTTATCGGCATAGAGTTACTCAAAGTAAGCCACTTTGAATTTTTGCAATATCATTTGTCTTCTTTTTCATTTGATTTTATTTATCTGGATCCTTTCTCTTTTTTTTAGTCTGGCTAAATATTTGTCAGTTTTGTTTAACTTAAAAAATTGGGCTGGGCACAGTGGATTATGCCTGTAATTACAGCACTTTGGAAGGCCAAGGCGGGCAGAGCACGAGGTCAAGAGATAGAGACCATCCTGACCAACATGGTAAAACCCTGTCTCTACTAAAAATACAAAAATTAGTTGGACATGGTGGTGCGTGCCCTTTAGTCCCAGCTACTCTGGAGGCCGAGGTAGGAGAACTGCTTGAACCGGGACCTGGGAGGTGGAAGTTGGAGTGAGCTGAGATTGTACCATTGCACTCCAGCCTGGGCTACAGAGCAAGACTCCATCTCAAAAAAAAAAAAAAAAAAAAGTTGATCTTTTGGTATTTTAATTTATTTCTACTCTAATCGTTATTCTTTCTTTTCTTGTACCAATTTTGGGTTTGGTTTGCTTTTGTGTTCTAGATCTTTAAGATGCATCATTAGATTGTTTCAAGTTCTTCTTTTTTGATATAGGCACGTAGTAAGTATAAACTTCCCTCTGAGTACTACTTTTGCTGTATCCCATAGGGTTTGGTATGTTGTGTTTCCAATATCATTTGTTTCAAGAAATTGTTCTGTTTTCTTTTTTTTTTTTTTTTTCTCAGTTGTTAAAGGACCTTTATTGAAATATTTTCCTTTGTGCTTCTTAACTAGCTGGGCATTCCACAGCACCACTGTTGATGTCATCTATGATGTCATGAGGGTGGTGGCCATCAACATTACAGCCCACAGACTGGGCAGTCCCCAGGATCTCTTTAATGGTTCCAGAGAGTTCTCTGGCTAAAGATCGGTGCTGCATCTGTCGAGCAATGTTGACAATCTCATCGAAAGTGATATTCCTGCTGTGTTTAATGTTTTTCTGTTTCTTTCTGTCTCTTGGTGGTTCCTTAAGGGCTTTGATGATCAGGGCAGAGGCAGAAGGCACCACCTCAGTCTGGGCCTGTCTGTTCTGAACGGTCAGTTTCACTGTAATCCTCAGGCCCTTCCAGTCACCCGTTGCCTTGGCAATGTCATCACCAACCTTGTTTGGAGACAGACCCAGGGGGCCGATCTTGGGGGCCAGCGCAGAAGTGGCACCGACTTTACCCCCAGTGCACCTCAGGTATACGACTTTGATCTCCACTTCAGCGGCATGGTGGAGGCGGCTGGTGTTGGATGAAACCAGATTCGGGACAACCGAAGAAAGTTGTACCTTGGCCTCCTCCGAGCCCAAAGCCGAAAGCTGTTCTGTTTTCTTAATTTCTTCATTGACCCACTGGTCATTCAGGAGCAAATTGTTTAATTTCTATATATTTGTATAGTTTCCAAAATTCCTCATTATTTGTTTCTGGTTTTATTCCATTGTGGTCAGAGACGATGCTTGATATTATTTCAGTTTTTAAAAGTTTTAAGACTCGTTTTGTGACCTACATATGGCTTATCCTTGAGAATGATCCACATGCTGAGGAAAAGAATATGTATTCTGCAGCTTTGGGATGAAATGTGTAAATATCTATTAGATCCATTTGATCTGTAGTGCAGATTAAGTCTGATGTTTCTTCATTGATTTTCTGTCTGGAAAATCTAAATCTGAAAGCAGCGTGTTGAAGTATCCAGCTCTTATTTGTATCGGGGCCTGTCTCTCTAGCTCTAATAATATTTCCTTTTTATGTCTGGGTGCTCCAGTGTTGGGTGCATATGTATTTACAACTGTTACATCCTCTTGCTGAACTGACCCCTTTATTATTATATAGTGACCTTCTTTGTTTCTTCTTACAGTTTGTCTTGAAATCTATTTTGTCTGATACAGCAAATACTGCTCTTTTTTGGTTTCCATTAGTATAGAATATCTTTTTCCATCCCTTTATTTTCAGTCTGTGTGTGTCTTTATAGGGGAAGTGTATTTCTTGTAGGCAAGAGATCTCTGAGCTTTGTTTTTTCAATCCATTCATCCACTCTATGTCTTTTGATTGGAGAGTTTAGTACATTTACATTTATTGTTATA